TATAAAACATTCCTATTCCACACAGTTATATAATGTATTTACCCAACCATCCATAACTATAAGCGCGATCTTTCCATTCAAAGGCGTCGACTACCCTCACATTTCTAGGCCTAGGCTCATCTTCATCACGAATATCTCCGCCGTCAGAACTGCTTGAAGTCCCATCATCGCTTGAAGTCATCATCGCTAACAGGCACGTCTAAGTCTCGCACATCTAAAAATTCACCTTCATCGCTGTCTGAATCAAAAATCAGGTCAATCGCTTGCTCAGCTGTGTACACATCTTGTGCGGCCATTTCGAAAAAATTTTGAAATTAATAACGATTTCAAATTGATATTTCTAAAAATGTTTATATAAGCGGATGTGAGTTCTTCACAGATTTCGAAAAACAGAAGCTTCACGCATGCGTGTTCAAAATTTCTGACGTATTGGAGCTAAAATAAAAACAGAAGAGCGATTTGAAAACCACCAATTTTTTAGTCACGAAATTTCGATTGCAGTCGAAAATGGGAATTCTCGGTTTGAGGTGAATTTCGACTACAGTCGAAGACGGTATCTAGAGGGTTAAGTTGATAGCCATTAATTTAAATGGTCAATATGTAAATGAATACAGGAAAGTATTTATTTAACAGTCTGTTTTTCAACAGTGGAATGGTTTCTTGTTTAAATTTTAGTTTAAAGTTAATAATTTGCATTAACATGACAATTACACAATTCAAGATATGGAATTTAATTTTTAGTTCATGACAGACAGTACATATTTAATTAGTAACTACAATTCAAAAACGTCCAGTATTTAAGATAAACGTCCGAATCTTATTAAACAAACACAATATCCATAATTTGTAAGATGCTGGGAACCTTTTCCATTCGGGATGTTGGCGATTATTAGAAGAATTAGTCTCAAATTAGAATCTTTCTATTTAAAGCGTTATTTAAATTTCTAAAAATAATTGATACATTTAATATTAAAATCCTTATTTGACCTAACTTTCCCTCCAGCTTCTACCCTGCCACTAATATTTTCCTATCACAAAAACATCCACGCCAGTGGTTGGCGTTGAGGTGAGATACATGGCACTTTCAGACTCATAAGTTTTTAAAGCAGTGTTTTCAACAGAATAACATGCCCCGAGCTTGTGTATGTGTATATGTGTATGTATATATGTATATATGTGTATATGTATGTATATGTGTGTATGTATATGTGTATGTATATGTATGTATATGTGTATGTATGTGCGTATATGTATGTGTATGTATATGTGTATGTGTATGTGTATATATATATGTATGTATATGTGTATATATATATGTATGTATATGTGTATATATATATGTATGTATATGTGTGAATATATATATGTATGTATATGTGTGAATATATATATGTATGTATATGTGTGAATATATATATGTATGTATATGTGTATATATATATATATGTATGTATATGTGTATATATATATGTATGTATATGTATATATATATATATATATGTATGTATATGTATATATATATGTATGTATGTATATGTATATATATATGTATGTATGTATATGTATGTATGTATGTATATGTATGTATATGTATGTATGTATATGTATATATGTATGTATATGTATACATATGTATATGTATGTATATGTGTATATATGTGTATATATATGTATATGTATATATATGTATATGTATATATATATGTATATATGTATATGTACTTCAAATTACGGGTCATTTTATACTTTTGATTTCCTGATGGGTTGTGTTTGTAACAAAATTTCCCTCCCTCTTTTTTTCAGTAGTATGGGTCCACAGCTTCCAACTATTCAAATACACACTATTTGAACTTGGAAGATACTACTGTATCAGAAATAAGTTATAAAAATCAAATAACACTAGTATTCAGGGAACAATCAATGAGAATCCAATATTAAATGTTGTAACAAAACAATCCCCGCAAAAATGATTACACAGTTAAATAAAATAAGCCTACAATGTTTGCACCTCCACCCTCATCTACTCTCCTGACGCGGGTGCTGAAAATACTAGCCCTAACAACTACTGAGTATTAATTTGCCAATGAATATGTCACTTTTCAGCTAGTCTGTATCGCTATCCTCATCTGTGTCAACATAATCATAATCCTCCTCATCTTGATCATTCTCATTTTCATCATCACTAACCATTTTGTCTTTACTGTCATCAGTTATAACATGAGCAATGACATTGTCCTGAATCATGTTTGCAATTGTATCTGGTGGAGTTGGCACATCAATGGTATTGCAAAATCGGTTTGCCAAGCCTTTTATAATACTCTCCAATTTTAAAACTTGGTCAACAAGATAGGACTGTTCGCCTAGGTCAACATTTTCTTGTGCAATACGTTGACAGTGCATTTCTTGCTGACTCAAATAGTACGTCATTACATTTTTCATCTCTCTTTCTACAAAACCTAGGTCCTTATTAGCTCCTATTTTATGAGTCCTAAGTTTCAAAATCCATTTAATTTCAGTACATCTTCTTTCATTAAGTGATCTGAAGTTGTTATCTATAATGATACATCTCATATTATTAATGGTGGGCCTAGCTCCGTTAAAGTGTTTAGCTAAAGGAAGATTATAATTGTTTCTTATAGAGCTTTTGTGGTTATTAATCCTTTTTCTAAATGTGCAGCCACTCTCCCAGACATAACACCCCCTTTACATACGGTACACCATATGAGATATATGATTGCAAGTGAGTTAAGGAGGTCTGATGGTGATTTTAGTGTTGGGTACACGGATGAGACTGTCTGTTATGAGGATATGGCAAATATTACATCTGGGGTTACCACAAGGTTTGTTACCTGGTTGGGGACGGGAAGAGAGAAGATTGGAGGATGTGAGCAAAGATTTTAGGTTGGGGGGTTGTCTTCTAGCCAATACGGGAGGTTCTTTGAAAGCTTTAATGTTAGGTATATTATTTTGGATAATTTTGAAGTCGTCTTTTAGTTGTTTGGGTAGGTGACTGAGTTGAGTACTGTGGGTGAAAACCATAGGGAGTCGCTGAGATAAGGTTTTGGGTTTGTATTGTAGAAGTTGATCTCGGGTTTTGTTGGATGTTTTGGCCAGGTATTTCTTTATTATTTTGATGGGATATTTACTTTGTCAAATTTGTTGATGAGCGTGCCAATCTGTATGTCATGTTCTTCTACGGAGGAGCATATTCGTTTGACTCCGAGAGCTTGGCTGTAGATGAGCGAGTGGTTGATGCTGTCAGGGTGTGCACTATGATAGTGTAGGTAGGTGTGGTGATCCGTAGGTTTAGTATACACGGATGTGGCCAGTGGCGTAGAAAAATATTTTTCATTGGGTGGGATGATTGGCGTGTTAGCCAGTGTCGTAACAGGCGCGAGAGGGGGGGGGGCAGGGGGAAACTGCCCCTCCCCTGGTGGTTTTTACCGGGCTGACCAAGCCGTCGTACCGGGCTGGGTAATAAGAGAAAAGAAAGAGGGGAGAGGGAGGGACAGAGAAAGCAGAGGAAAAGAAAAGGAAAGAAAAAGAGAAGAGAAAAATAAAGACAAAAATAAAAAGGAAGATATAATGACCAGACTCAAAACACCTTGCAACCCCTTCTCCACTTCAAAAACTGTCATAACTCCTTTGATCTATGCTGCCCGATGGCGTAACCACTGGGGGGGGGGCAAGGGGAAAATATCTATCTTTGAAAAATCTTTACCCCTTTATAAATGCCCTTTCATCCCCTGAAAGTGCCTAAAAACTTCAAATTTCGCGCGCATTTCTTGTTAACATGGCCCAATTTCCTCTAAAAATTGCACATTTTAGGGTGTTTTGATCAATTCCAACGAAGTTAAAATAAAAAACACAGGGGGACAAGGGGAAAATATCCATCTTTGGAAATTAGAATTAAAAACACAAAAATATTTTGCGCGCTTGGCGCGCATTTTTTAGGGCTTTTTTACTTTTATCCTTTTAAGTTATTTAAACACATAATAGTCCCAAATTCAAGAAAGACAAATTTAAGATATGTCAATTTAACCTAAAAGAAGGGCCTCAATGTGTATAGATAGTGAAAGAATATGTTTGTAATAAATAAAACCATGATGAAAATGCTTATCTTTAGTTTCAAACACACGTGTGTGGCCGATATTATAAATAAGATAAGCCCTATGTCGTATTGTTTTCTATATGGGGAGTGGGGAGTGGGGTGGGGTGGGTATGGTAAATTACTAACCGGGAAATGAGGTACCCACTCTGA